TAGTAGATGTTCAAATTGCAAATAGCTGGGATTGAGCAGCATTTCAGTTGCCTTCCTCTGACAGGTATTATCAACTATCTGGTGCCTCTATACTGTATACCCAAAGATCTAAGTGAGTCAATAATATGCAAAGCACTTATTCCGCTCCGGTGAAAACACAACTATTCTGTGTGACTCCAGCTCTGGACCACTTCTCTCTAATGTCATTATTTTCATTATCAGCCCAAGCAACATGCCGATCCTTATCTTTGGGCTAAAATACTTCTCTTTCTGGGAAAACTTTATCAGATGGGTTCTTTCTCCAGGGGAAACTACCCAGGAAAGCCACTCCCACCCCTCAAAAAGAAATGGCGAATATGTTAGGGTATCACCAGATGAATTGAATTCCAAACCCTTAAATAATTTCAGGTGGTGTAGAAGCTGTGCGCTGTGCCACCCAGATCTCTTTTTCAGGACTGAAGGATTTATTCCTCCAGGTGTTTCTGGGATGTCAGGGAACAGTCCTCAGAGCTCCCCCAGCAGAATCATACCCCTCTCTGGGGCAGTCAGCATCCCATGATTGGTCCATGTGGAGTTTAAAGGTCGAGAAGTCTCTTCCTGACTCAGAACAACTCTGAAAGGCTGTGCCAGCTTTAGTGCTCCCTGAGGAGTGACCTCAGGTCTGAATTTAACCTGCCTCAGGCACTACTTCTTTTCCCTCCCAGTCCTGGCTTCTTCCCTTCCCTCCCACAGGTTTCAATCCTGGGAATACTCTCTAATATACTATTTGCATACTACTCTCCATGCTGGAGTTTATTTCCCTGGGAACCCAACCTACAATATCTGGCTTCTCCTTTTCCTTGGCTTATACATACCTAGACTTAGCTTTCTTGACATTGGAATTAGCCAGTGGAGAATGTGTTGATCATTTCTTTTTCTTTTTTTTTTTTTTTTTTGAGATGGAGTTTCACTCCTGTTATCCTTGGTGGAGTGCAATGGCCCCATCTCTGCTCACTGCAACCTCCGCTCCTGTGTTCAAGCAATTCTTCTGCCTCAGCCTCCCAAGTAGCTAGGACTACAGCATGCGCCACCATGCCCAGCTAATTTTTGTATTTTTAGTAGAGACGAGGTTTCACCATGTTGGCCAGGATGGTCTCGATCTCTTGACCTCATGATCCACCTGCCTCGGCCTCCCAAAGTGCTGGGATTATAGGCTTGAGCCACCACGCCCGGCCCTGAACATTTCTTATGTAATTTCTGAGAACACAGATCTTGCCTACTTTATAATTTGTATCCTATGTATCATCTAGTGCCGTTAGAATTTAATAAGTGTTAACGGAATGGAAAAAGTTCCAAGGTACGGTGCAGTGATGGGAGTAGAGAAAGCACATGTTTTTCCCATTAAGTGGTAAACGTCTAATTTGGGGTTAACTGGTAACATCAGAGAACTGCAAGTGAGTTAAGTCCACGGAGGCCTAGCAAATTGCACAGGCAACTGCATTAAACAAAGCGAAGTACATGCATTTTGTTTTCCTTTGGGTATATTTGGTCTTTGGGAATCAGATTTCTTGCAAATTAGTAAAGTGAAAGAGTTTGTTAATTTTGAGGTTCCTTATTTCAAGACATTTTTCAAAAATATTTTACCATTATCTGTTTTTCATTCCGTATGTAGATTTTTATTTGTTTGCCTTTTTGCTTCCTGTTTAACCAACCCAAAGTTAGAATTGGCTGAGAAAACTCTTACTAGCAAGTAATGTTATTGTCAAATAAATATACTTACAGATAATGTCAGCCCTAGTTAGTTGGGGTCATCCTGCCCCTTAAGATGTAGAGGAGATAGACTCAACCCTCCTTACCAAGACTTGTGGAAGTCCAAGTCATTCTTCAACAATTCCAGGTATTGCCAGAGGGCTTACATTCCCATGGTCAGTCCTGGCTTCAAGCTCCTATTTTGCTGAATTTGTTGAGTTTAGAGATAATCTTTTCATTGCCTCTTGTGTTCCTTATTCTGTATCACCTCAGTACAATGTAGATCCTGGCCAGCCAGCCAGCCAGCCTTCCTTCCTCTCCTCCTCATCCTTTTTCCTCTCCTCTCCTCTTCTCTCTGTCTCTCTCTCTCTCTCTCTCTCTCTCTCTCTCTCTCTCTCTCTCTCTCACACACACACACACACACACACACACACCAGGCATTTTTACACTTGATCTTAGCCAAAAGGCCGAGAAGCGATTGGGCATTTTTATATGTAGTCAACTTTGCCAGAGTTTGGGAAAGGTGAAAGTAGCTTGCACTGTGCACCCAGATCTCTTTTTAAGGACAGAAGGATTTATTCCTCCGGGTGTTTCTGGGATGTCCGCTGACAGTCCTCAGAGCTCTCCCAGCAGAATCATACCCCTCTCTGGGGCAGTCAGCATCCCATGATTGGTCCATGTGGAGTTTAAAGGTCTAAAAGTCTCTTCCTGACTCAGAACAACTCTGAAAGGCCGTGCCAGCTTCAGTATGTTCAAAAACATACAATATTCATCATCCTTGTTCTTGTTCTTAAAAAACAAATCTTTCATTCCTTTGCTGCCACATTCAGGCTCCAGCCTCCTCCTCTTCCTTTTCCCCTCCTTTCTATGCCCACTCTCTTTTAAGAGAAGAAAAATTCCTCTCATTTTCTTAAGGGGCAACTTAGCCCTCCCAGAAACTTATTAGATCATTTTGACTGCAAGTGACAGAAAACAAAGTTCAAACTGCTTGACCCAAGAGAATCTACTGAGCCTGGTAGCTTAAAAGTCCAAGGGTGGATCTTGTTTCGGGTGTGGATAGATAAGAGCACTGGGCCATGTCAGCAGATCAGCTTTCTGTCTCAGTGTGTTGGCTCCACCCTTCCTGATCCTGGCTCCCTGTCTCAGCGAAACTCGCCTTGCTTTACATAGGGCCTAGGCCTGTCAGTGCGGCTGGGAATGCAGCATCCTTATTGGCTTAGGCCTTGTTCCCATCTTCCAACCCTGTCACCACAAGGATGGGATTAGTGTGACTCAAACATGCTGAAAGGAGTGGCTCCTCAGAGGGAAACTAGCTACAGTACTACAGAAAGGGGAAATGCTGCAGAGACACAGCCGGAAACAGTGCTGGCCAGCTCACGCCTGATTCACTAAGCATAGGGTCTTCCTCTGAAGCGCTAAGAACTTTCTGAAATTTAAAACTTAGTGCTTGTATTTGTCTGTCCTAGTAAGACCATAGGCAAAAGCCATCCTCCTACCCACTGACAGTTTAGAGTGGGAAAGTCCATTTTTATAGATGTTCTAAAATGCCCTGCAGGTACCAGAAATGGTCTATATCTTGACGGTAGGGGTTACACAGTGTATACATATGTTAAAATTCATCAAGCTGTACAGTTAAGGTGTGTGCATATGTAGTTTAGTGTATAGGCTATACCTCAGTTAATTTTATTTTGTAATTTCCTGCAAGATTAGCAGCAAAAGTATATGTGATTTCAAGTGCAATACTCAAGCCCATGATCTTTGGTTTGCCTTCAGACTAAGCCGTATTCAGCCAGAAGCCAAGAAGTAGCCCAGCTGAGTTCACCAGGGTAGAAACCCATATGGGTTTGGGTTTGAGCTCTATTTTGTATTAATATGGGTATATTTGCCTAAAGTGTCTTCTGGAACATACATGTAATATACATCCCTCAGAAACTGAGTATATTGACACAGGAAACATTTAGAGACTGGGGATAACCTGAGAGTCCATGTTTATAATAAAGGCTTCTAAACATTCCCCTAAATTATTCTGGTAAACATATAGTAGTCCCCTCTCATCTGGGGGAATACCTTCCAAGCCCCACATTAGATGCCTGAAATCCCCTATATGTACTATGTTTTTTCCTATATACATAATTATAAAATTTAATTTATAAATTAGGCACAGGAAGAGATTCACAACAATAACTAATAATAAATGAAAAGTTACAACAATATACTGTAATAAAAGTCATGTAAGGCTGGCACGGTGGCTCACGCCTATGAATCCCAACACTTTGGGAGGCAGAGGTGGGAGGATCCCTTGATCCCAGGAGCCTGGGCAATTCGGCAAAACTCCATCTCTACAAAAAATAAAACCCTTAGCCAGACATGGTGATGCATGCCTGTGGTCCCAGTTACTCAGGAGCTGAGGCAGGATTGCTTAAACCCAGGGGGTTGAGGCTGCAGTGAGCCATGTTTGTGCCACTGCACTCTACTGTGGGCAACAGAGTGAGACCCTGTCTCTCTTTCTCTCTCTCTCATATCTCTCTCTCTCATATATATATATATATATATATATATATATATATATACATATATACACACACACACACACACACACATATGTCTCTCTCTTTCAAAATATCTTATTGTACTGTACTCACCAATTTTTGGACCATGGTTGGCCTCAGGTAATGGGTAACTGTTGTATTCAAGGCAGAAAGATAGTTTGCCTTCTACCATAAAATGGTGCTGCTAATCAAAGTCATTATTCCCCAGTGAAATACTACATTTGACAGTCCTTTAGAGCAGATTATAATGGATTTAGAATTGGAAGATCTACATTTAAGTCCTGGCCTTGTCCTTTACTGGCTGTGTGGCTTTGGGCGAGTCACTTAATTGTGCCTGAGCTTCAGTTCCACATCTATAAAATGATGATGTGGGAGGCTCTTGTCTTTCAGGGTGCTCTGAGTTAGAGGTGACACATGCAAAGGTCTTTCATGAAAGGACAAAGTCTCATTATTATCCTGATCCCCCCTGCCCATTGTCTTTCAGAGCGTTAATCGCATTTTTTGTTAGTGCCTCTTTTGCATTTATCTTTTTCGGTAATCTTCTGAATGGATTTTTCACTCCATAATTACCTCTAAGGTTAAGTGATTCCTAGGAGTTTGTCCAGCAGCATTTTGCATGTTGCTAATACATCAGAACACCTTGCCTGAATTTCATCTTTCATCATTTTTTAGATGCTATCTTCGTGTAACTAACTTCATCTTGTCTTTCTGAATCTTTTGCAGTTCAATCTCCTAATTCACCCTGCTTACAGTATTCCTCTTTGGAATCTCATCATCAGCTGTTGCCAACCTAAGCAAAGGCAGTTTCTTGATGTCTCTTCATCTGTTTCAAGGTTTGTATTCTTCTTTGACTGTACTAGTAAAATAGATAAGGAGTAACTATTGATGTTACAGAGAAATGACAATTTTCTTTTTGAAGGGTGAGATAATTCTTATATACAGAAAAGCTTACTGTTTTTCATAAAGTTAATGAAGAAAATGATAAAAGGGGAAATTTAATGGAAATTTTTCAAATATTTGAGAAATTAACTTTAACCTGTTAGATACTCTCTACATAAACCTAAAAATAGTTTGGCTTATATACAGGTGTCTATTTGGTGAAAGTCACTATTTTAGGCACATTACTTGCATTTCTTATCTAATTTAATCTTCATCACCATTAGTTAATTATTGTTTTCTTTCTTCTACACATGTTGAAACAGGTTAGCTTGTCCAAGGTCAAAGTAGGTAAAATGGAAGAGCCATACTGGAATAAAAATGCATTTGAATCCAGGCCAGAGGCAGTGGCTCATGCCTGTAATTCCTGCACTTTGGGAGGCTGAAGCAAATGGATCACTTGAGATCAGGAGTTCGAGACCAGCCTGTCCAAATCCTGTCTCTACTAAAAATACAAAAATTAGCCAGGCGTCATGGTGCATGCCTGTAATCCCAGCTACTCGGGAGGCTGAGACAGGAGAATCGCTTGAACCCAGGAGAGGGAGGCTGCAGTGAGCTGAGATAGTGCCACTGCATTCTAGCCTGAGGGACAGAGTGAGACTCCATCTCAAAAAAAAAAAAAAGAAAAAGAAAAAAAAAAAAAAATCCAAAGCCAGGGCATTTTCCATGAGATATTCTTCCATGCACTCCATTTTATAGAGTTTAGATGAATCTCCAACCAGGTAAAGATAAAAGTTTTAAGCCTTGGTAGTAGAATATTGGCTTGTTAGCCACATGGCTTGTGCTCAGGATTTATATACTTCCCCTTAACTAGAATATAAATTAGGAAGAAAGAGGGGTTGAACACATGGCTCAGGCCTATAATTCCAGTGCTTTGGTAGGCTGAGATAAGAGGATTGCTTGAGTTCAGGAGTTTGAGATCGGCATGGACAATATAAGTAGACTGCAACTCTACAGAAAAAAAAAAAAAAATTAGCCAGCTGTGGTGGTGCACACCTGTGACCTCAGCTATTGAGTCCAGGAGGTCAAGGCTGCAGTGAACTGTGATAGTGCCACTGCACTTCAACCTGAGCAACAGAGCAAGACCCTTTCTCTAGTAAATAAATAAAAATAAAACAAAGTAGGATGGAAAAAAGTGAAGGAGGAAATGAAGGAAGGAGCAAAGGAAGGAAAATGGTCACTTTTCTGTTTCCCTTGAGGATTGCTGAAGAATAATAACACCGGTCTTACATTGCTTCAGTAAGAAGTTCCATTGCTTAGGACGATACCTAGGAAATGGGTTACTCAATATAGGAATGGACCACCAAGGAATTAATAGAATTAATCTTAATGAAAATTAGGAAGTTAACAGTCTACCCGAAGACAAATAATTGCTACCTTTTTGGACAATAGGGATCTGGACTCAGAAATCTTTTGGGAAACTATGATTTTATAGTGTAATTACTTCTCTTAATATTAATTTAAATGTAGTCAAGTTGGAAACTATGAGAAAGCCATCTAAGTATGTCCTCATGGGGGCACATCTGTTTTATAAGTCTGTAAACCCAAATGACTAAAATGGCACAGTTATCAGCGTGTTAACATGACTAAGATTATTGACATGTTGAGAGACATACAGGTATACAGGTACTGATGTATTAAATCAGCATGTTGCTAGAAAAAAACACATGTTTAAAAATGGAAAAGAGGGCTTATCCCATCTTTATTCCTTTGGGAAAGCAGACATTGTTATTCACTCTGAAGTCAAAGATGACCCTGATCCTAGACTCAGAGGCACTGCAGGAGCTTGCTGGATCAGGCAGTGACTCAGATTTACAGTCCAAACTCATCCCTAGTCTGAGCACCTATCTGCATCAGCTTTCATGTCCCTGCTGTTGAATCATGGCAGCCACCATCACATTTCTGGGACCTTTTTTCAGTCCCTCTCACCTGTGGCTCCCAGATCCATCACCTAAGATTTACAAAACAACACACGAAGATTCAAGGTCAGCTTTGAAATATAAGTATTATGTCCAAATGTTAAAAATAAGGTCACCTATAAATCATGTTGGAAAGAAGTAGAATGTCATAAACACAAGAGATTACATATTATAATTCGCAGCATGGAACGCAACAACCCTAAAAGAATTAACTTAAAAGCAACAACAATAGCAAAGATGATGACCACAAACAACACAGGTCAGAGATCCGAGGTTTGTCAGGAAAAAGCCAGACATGTTGATTTCGGTGGAAAAGGTTACAACCTAGACAGACTACTAGGTATCATATGAATGTTTGTGTACTTGTTTTTTTTTAAATCTTGGTAAGCACTATATTTATAATTATTAGACTTTTTCCTTGTTTGATTGATTACTGAAGGTCATTCTAGGAAGTGAGAGAATTAGTTATTTGGAGGACCCTAAAAATAAAATCCTACATGCTTAATTTAGCCATTCCTACTATATTAGAGATAAAATACTGAAAATCTTAAAGAAGGCAAGAATAAACTTACATCAGGTTCTTCTGCTATCACTTCACAATGTTGAAATATCATCCAGTATTCTTTCTTTCTTTTTTTTTTTTTTTTTTTTTTTGAGACGGAGTCTCACTCTGTCACCCAGGGTGGAGTGCAGTGACATGATCTCAGCTCACTGCAACCTCTGCCTCTTGGGTTCAAGTGATTCTCCTGCCTCAGCCTCCCCAGTAGCTGGGATTACAGGCAGGTGCCACCACGCCCAGCTAATTTTTGTACTTATAGTAGAGATGAGGTTTCTCCATATTGGCCAAGATGGTCTCGATCTCCTGATCTTGTGATCTGCCTGCCTCAGCCTCCCAAAATGCTGGGATTGCAGGCGTGAGCCACCGAGCCTGACCAGAATTCTTTCAATATGTGATAGCACTGGCACCAAAAAGAATGATTTAACTATAAGTTAGAGATAAGTTATAACCACAAATCTTTTTTTTTTTTTGTGGAAAGTAATTTATTTATTTATTTAGAGAGGAACCAGAGAAGGAGAGAGAAAGAAACAGCTAACTCTCACGCTGAGTGAGAGAATCCAGAAAGATGGAATCCAGGAGAGAAAAGCAGTTTCCACACTGAGTGGAAGGGAACAGAGAGAGAGAGATGGAGTTTAGGAGGGGAAGACAAGCTTCCATGAAAGTGTAGAAGGGGAAACACAAATCTAAATGTCAGTTTTCTTGTCACCTACACAGCTAATAATGATTTAAAACATACTAATAACTATGTATCTTATTTTTCTTGCAATAAAACATTAATTACAGTAAGTTAATATTTATGGACCACACTGAAGTTCTCAGATGAAGTGAAGTGATAGGCAAGTAAATAAATATTACATAAACAAACAATTACCCAACCAATTAATGCCCCTCAAATTGTGAATTGTAAATTTGAAAATACGAATTGCTTTCTGAAACTTTGGCTGACATATAACATGGGAAGTAGTGCTGTCTAAAAACTGTCTAAAATGAAATCAGCTTCCCTCTAATTTGACTTTGAAACCAAGTGAAAGAAGAAAATAAGGTTAATGTCTACTTATTTTTTTTTAAACATATGATTGGAGACATTCTGAACACACAATGTCAATTGAATATGGTTGATTTAAGAACATGGAAAATTAAATGGTATGATCTTTTTCCATTACATATTCATATGCAGCCATAACATGAAAATAACTTTTAAGTAGATTTAAAGTGTCTAATGGCCATTATAGGAAGAAAAAAATGTATGTGGAGATAATTTGTTCTTTGAATCATATTCAGATAAGATGCAAATATCCAAAAATGATATAGATATAACCTGATTTTTGCAATTTTCTCTTTTTATGTATAACATTTGGATCCTTTATAAATAGGAAGAAAAAAATGGAAAAACAATGAGAAGTAGGAAATCCATTTCTAGTTGTCTTTTTAAATCAGAGCTTTGAAAGCTCAAGATCCCAGATCAGTTTGAAAGCTCAGAGAAGGCAAGAATCCAGTTTGCTATACAGTAGAAAGCATTGAAGAATGTCTCAGGCCTACTTTTACCCCATTCAACAGTTCTCTAGATACTCACCCATAGCAATTAGGAGCAGATAAAAAAATTCTTTTCTAACTTGACTTCTTTAAAATGACTTAGGGTAAGATATCTTTTTTCTTTTTCTTTTGAGATGGAGTTTTGCTCTTGTTTGCCTAGGCTGGAGTACAACAGTATGATCTTGGCTCACTGCAACCTCTGCTTCCCGGGTTCAAGTGATTCTCCTGCCTCAGCCTCCTGAGCAGCTGGGATTACAAGCATGCACCACCATGTCCATCTAATTTTGTATTTTTACTAGAAATAGGGTTTCACCATGTTGGTCAGGCTAGTCTTGAACTCCTGATCTCAGGTCATCTGCCAGCCTTGGCCTCCCAAAGTGCTGGGACTACAGGTGTGAGCCACCATGCCCGGCCAATAAAATGTCTTAAATTATCCTAGAATCAAAAAGTTTATCCATGTAGTACCTCACAAATATAACTCCGAATAAAATTCAGAACCAAATGAGCTTTGAATCTGAGTCCAGATCAAACACTAAGAAATTTGGTTCATTTGAGTGACTTCTTTATACACATCTGCATTTTCTAAATTTCCTATAATGGACATATACCACTTTTACAATCAGAGGAAACAACAAAACCAAACCAACATTACATAGGGAAGTTTAGTTCAGATCTCAAGCCTGCTCAGGACCAATAGAAATGAGAGGATAAGGCCGGGCACGGTGGCTCACGCCTGTAATCCCAGCACTTTGGGAGGCCGAGGCGGGTGGATCACAAAGTCAAGAGATCGAGACCATCCTGGTCAACACGGTGAAACCCCGTCTCGACTAAAAATACAAAAAATTAGCTGGGCATGGTGGCGCGTGCCTGTAATCCCAGCTACTCAGGAGGCTGAGGCAGGAGAATTGCCTGAACCCAGGAGGCGGAGGTTGCGGTGAGCCGAGATCGCGCCATTCCACTCCAGCCTGGGTAACAAGAGCGAAACTCCGTCTCAAAAAAAAAAAAAAAAAAAAAAAGAGAAATGAGAGGATAAGCCAGGCATGGTGGCTCATGCCTATAATCCCAGCACTTTGGGAGGCTGAGGCAGGTGGATCACTTGAGGCCAGGAGTTCAAGACCAGCCTGGCCAACATGGTGAAACCCCATCTCTACAAAAATAAATAAATAAATAAATAAATAAAAAGCTGGGTGTGGTGGCACACACCTGTAATCCCAGCTACTCAGGAGTATGAGGCACCAGAATCCCTTAAACCTGGGAGGTGGAGGTTGCTGTGAGCTGAGATCATGCCATTGTACTCCAGAGTGGGCAACTAAATGAGACTCTGTCTCAAAAAAAGAAATGAGAGAATAGACTAGAGTTCATGGTGTAAGTTTATTCAGAAGCCTCACCACATAAGTCTGTATATGGCTTTAAGAACTGTTTCTTATGTTTTATAGCAAACATTGTAAGTGATGTAAATGAACACTATTACTTGTTCTCCTTTTATTTGTGAGCACTGAAGGATGTGTGCAGTTACATAGTTTTCTTCTGCATGGTGGTTAAAAAATAAATTATATGTCAGTTTTACAAACAATGTGAAAGTTGCTTTACATAAATCTGAAGCTGAGTTTGCTCTGGACAGTGTTAAGCCATCTGAGAATTCTGCTAGGGGGAGATGTTCAGTCCTATTAAAGTGAGCGAGGATGAACTTCTCAACTGAACAATGTTATTTTAGGGAGCTTAAAGAGAAGCAACACAGTTTCATAAAAATTAGAAGAGACCAAAGCCACATAATGCAGTAGGCTGCAGATCAGTGCCAGCTCACATCTGCACAAGCTCTGTGACTCTGAAACATTCACTTAACCTCTCTGAGACTCTGTTTTCATTTATAAAGTGATAAGGATAATAATAGTACCTATTCAGAAGGTTATTGAAAGGATGAAACCAGGTAAATTGCTTAGGACATCTATTAGCACAAGCAAAGTGCTCCAATGAATATTTACTGTTATAAAAGCCTGTACTGTCTTCGCTGCAGACTTGATGGTGGTGTTACATGAATAGCAGAGTCTGAATTTTTTATTATTATTTATTGGTTTATTTATTTATGAGATGGAGTTTCACTTTTGTTGCCCAGGCTGGGGTGCAATGGTGTGATCTCAGCTCCCTGCAACCTCTGCCTCCTGGGTTCAAGTGATTCTTCTGCCTCAGCCTCCCAAGTAGCTGGGATTAACAGCTGGCTAATACTGTATGTTTAGTAGAGACAAGATTTCACCATATAGGTCAGGTGGGTCTCAAACTCCTGACCTCAGTTGATCCACCCACCTTGGCCTCCCAAAGAGCTGGGATTATAGGCCTGAGCCATCGTGTCTGGCCTGAATGTTTTAAACACATTTACTATATGACATAGTAGGTTAGACATATCAAGTGCCCTTACCTTTGTGCTAAGAGTATGATTTAGGATTAGAACCAGGTCCTAAAATGATGTCACCTAATTAGTTAGGTGTAACAAGTAGAACTTCCTAGTACAAATTGGAGCGAGCCTATGTTTCTGTTTAAGATACCTGTCTTAGTCTACTTGGGTTGTTATAGCAAAATACCATACACTGGGTAGCTTATTAACAACAGAAATTTATTTCTCACAGTTCTGGAGGCTGGAAAGGTCAAGCTCAAGGAGCTGGCAGATTCAGTGTCTGGTGAGGGCCCTGCTTCCTGGTTTATGGATGGCATGTTCTTGCTGTGTCCCCACAGGACAGAAGGGGGAAGGCAGCTCTCAGGGACCTCCTTTATAAGGACACTAATCCCATTCATGAAGGATCCGCCCCTGTGATTTAATCACTCCTCAAAGGTCCCACCTTCTGTTACCATCACATGAATGATTAGGTTTCAACCTATGAATTTTGGGGGGACACAAACATTCAGACCATAGCAGTGGTAAATGGTGTTTTAGGGGAAAAATGCTCCACTGGGGCATAAAAATCTGTTTATAATATTAATAGTTCCTGAATGTTCACTTGGAGTCAAAGAGCTGCTAGTGACTTGGCCCATGTTCTTGTTGAATTCTCACTGCCTTATGCAGCAGGTGCTGTTTCAATCCTGGGAGAAAACTGGGTCTCAGAGAGGTTAAGAAACTTGCTCACTGTCACATAACAAGTAGATGGTGGACTGGGCACTTCCAGTGCCTAATCACTCCTTTGCAGGGGTTCTGAGCCATGATTTTTGTGTGGTAGAGATGAGAGGTGGACAGCTGTTTACAGAACTGGAAAATGCTTCTATCCTTCCTTGATACCTGCATCCATCCGCCTTTCATCCACATTGTAGTTTCTGCCAAACATCCATTTAATTAGGGGGAGGGGGAGTATCAGCCTTACTCATTTTTCTAAGTGGTAGGGGAAAAACCTCCACCAAGACGGAGAACAAGAAGGAAAAGTTCAACCAGCAATTTTGTTCACTCAAGGGCAGAAACACCCACGGTTACCCTAGAAGCAAATCCAGAGCTGCGGAACACTGGAGGACAAAACTGTCTTCCAAGTTGTGGCTTCAAAAGGTGTTTGCCTTTTTTTCTTTTTTTTAACCCTCTCTCCTCTAACCTTTTGTAACTGGGAAATGAAATAGTTTTGGTTTGCAAGCTGTTGCCAGGGAGTGGAGCAAGACTTTGTAATAAACAAGAGCAACTGCCAGAGCCCCCAGTGAGCCTCTCCAAGGACAGACTGCCAAGAAAACCTGGCGGTGTGACAGCAGGGTTCATTCAGTGTGGCGGGTGGTCACTGAGGAGCGACCATGGGGAGGACAGCCAGGTGGGGTACCTCCCAGGCTCACCTTGGGGAAGAGTGCAGCTTCCCATTAGTGAGCTGTGTGAGCTGTTACAATTCACCCAGACTGTTTCAGGAAGCTCCATAAATAAATAAAATTGTCTCCGTGTGTGTGTGTGTGTGTGTGTGTTTGTTTGCGCGCACGCACACGTGCAATTCTCTACGGAAATGATCTAGAGCTTTCACCAAATTCCCAAGAGCCCACGATCCTTACAGCAGAAACGAAACTCAGGATTAGCTCACGCCACGCGGGTCTTCTGGAAAAGAACACCAAACCCACCACTTTTATTTCTGGAGCAACTGAGCTCAGGCTGTCAGCCCAGTCTCCTCTTACAAAACCCCTAGGCACTTAAGAGACCACAGGGGAAAAAAAAGAACTCAACCCCTTTTCTAATCTAAACCTAATCCTCCTTAAACCTTGCCTGACCCGGGTTACCAGGAATCCTGCCAGTGCCAAATGATATGATGTTTATTCAGCTCGTGTCTTAGCCCTCTGCTCCTGAGCCACAGAACTCAAAAGGGAACGTTCAGCCACCACCTGCTGATGAATTCGTAAACAAAGGGGTAGTCAAGACTGAGGAGGACCGGCCTTTGAGGACAATTCCTGCCTGTTGCTCCAGCTCAAATAAGGGCACGGCTCCTAAGGAACAGGCTTGAGACACGCATAAGTGCTGTGCCAAGTAGTTCAGGAGCCTGGTACAGCTGTTCCCAGTGTGCCCTTTACCTCCTGTTGCCTCTTCAAAGCACAATAGGGTGTGGATGACACTGTGCCCCTGCTCCCAGAAGAAACTGAGAAAGTTACAACTCATTAACCAGTTAGTGTTGGAGCAGTGCTTGCCACATTATTCTGAGAAGTCTCAGATCCATGACGGTGATGTGGAGCTCAGAACACACAGCCTAAACCCTGTTTTTACCGGAGCAGTTGTTTTGATCTGTCTTATAGCTGGGAGATACGCATGAGATTTCAAGGGAGGAAGGCCAGTTCCCTTCCTAAAAACTTAGAATGTTTAAAAAAAAAAAACAAAAAACTCCCTTGTACAGTTGAATTTGGTACATCTTTCCCTGAAAAGAGCTAAAGTGAAATATCTTACAGATCCTGACATGCAGTGAGCTGGTTTTATTTCCAGTTTTCTCTGCTTCTTCTCTCTAAACTAATGGCTCCTTATAACTCTTTCTCTGTGCGTTTGACAGCATTGTTCTCTGAGTAACAGTAACCATGAGAAGAACAGCTAACATTTATTCCATGCCTGTTGTGTGTGCCTTGTCACATGCTGGGCACCTTATGTGCCATTAGCCTACTGGACCCTGCTATCGCCCTGTGAGTGGATGGTCTCTCTCTTCAGCTCTCACGTGAAGCAAAAACAGCAACAGCAACTTCTTCAGTTCATTTAGCTGGTAAATGCTGGACTCAGAACTGCAAGCCAGGCAGTAACTCAGAGGTTGAATTGACTTGATGTATAATGTCACCTCTAATGCTTAGTGAACAAGAGATATGTGTGTGTAAATGAGATGTAAATTAGTTTCAGATCTTGAAAAGGAATATGTTCAATAGTGAAAATGTGAAGTTAAAAAAAAACAGGAAGAAAAAATTATCCATCATTTCCTAACTCCAAGACCACCAACTGTTAATGTGTTAATGTTTGGACATATTTCCTCCCAGTCTATTTTTATGTATAATTTTTAGCCCTGCATATTTAAAAAGGCTCTGATTGTCTGTGGATATTTTATTTTGCTTTTGTCACTTTGTATGACAATATAATGTATGATGATGTTTTTCATAATATTTCAAATTCTCTATAATTTTTGCTGGCTAAATAATAGTCTTTTAAGTGGAGTAATCAGGTTGACAAAAATTTATTGAGCATCTAATATGTCCTAGATCCTGTGCTCTATATATATGTACGCGGATATATAAAATTCTGATTTTTTCCTTTGAGAACTAGCAGTCTAGTGTAGAGCAAAGAGGTAAGTCGTTAACTATGTAGTTATTGTAATAGCTACCACTGGTGGGGCATGGTGGCTCATGCCTGTAATCCCAGTACTTTGGGAGGCTGAGGCAGGCGGATCACCTGAAGTTAGGAGTTCAAGACCAGCCTGGCCAACATGCTGAAACCCCATCTCTACTGAAATATAAAAATTAGCCAGGTGTAATTGTGGATGCCTGTAATCCCAGCTACTCAGGAGGCTGAGGCAGGAGAATCACTTGAACCCAGAAGGTGGAGGTTGCAGTGAGCTGAGATTGTGCCACTGCACTCCAGCTTGGGCAACACAGTCAGATTCCATCTAAAATAATGATGATAATAATAATAGCTACCACTATTGAACATACATGATGTTCCAGGCACCATTCACATGTATGGACTTACTGAATCCTCAGAGCAACCTTATGAGTAGGGATGATTACTCTGTTCTTTTTGATAGCTGTTGAGACTGAGGCATGCCTTGCTAATAAGATGGCATTGCCCAGTGTGGCAGGTAGAGTAATGGCTCCCTGAAGATGACCACCTTTGAATCCCCAGTACTTGCAAATATTATCTTGCATGGAAATTACCCATAAAGTAAGATGGTAAAAATGGAAATTATCTTACATGGAAAAAAGAGACTTTGCAGGTATGATTAAGTTAGGGATTTTTTTTTTTCTTTAAAGGTGGAATCTCACTCTGTCGCCCAGGCTAGAGTGCAGTGGCACAATCTCAGCTCACTGCAACCTCCACCTTCTGGGTTCAAGTGATTCTCCTGCCTCAGCCCCCCCGAGTAGCTGGAACGGCAGGTGTGTGCCACCATGTCTGGCTACTTTTTATATTTTTAGTACTGATGGGCCAGGCTGGTCTTGAACTCCTGACCTCAGGTGATCTGCCTGCCTTGGCCTCCCAAAGTGCTGGGATTACAATTGTGAGTCACCACATTTGGCCTAAGTTAAGGGTCTTGATATAGGAAGATTATCCTGGATGATCTGGGTGGGCCCAATGTCAAGAAGAGTCCTTATAAGAGGGAAATAGCAATGTCAGAGTCAGAGAAGAAAATGTGATAATGAAAACACAAAGAGAGGAAGGGTGGAAGGGAAGGAAAGAGAGGCTTGATGCCACACTGCTGACCTCCTTGAAGACTGAAGAAAGGACCATGAGCCAAGGAATACAGGCAGCCTTTAGAAGCTGGAAGTGAATTCTCCTGTGGAGCATCCAGAAAGAAGAGTCCTGCTGACACCTTGATTTTAGGACTTTTGACTTCTAAATTTGTTGTTTTAAGCTATTGTTTGTGGTAATTTGTCGTATCAGCAACAGGAAATAAATACACAAGGATTAAAACCCAGGCAGTGTGACCCTAGTGCCATCATTCTTAACTGTGGCCGTATATGAGGTTATTAGCTATGTCCAGAGTACCATGTGAACCTAGAGAAAGAACATTGAAGAGAGAGATAGGGAAGGACAGTTAGTGTCAGCAAGGTAACAACCTGGCTCTCTTAAGCTGGGCAGCAATTACAAAGGCAGTGAAGGATAAGGAATTAACATAGAAAGATATGCATGATATCATAAGTGAAACTATTCTACTATTATATATAATTGTTTCCCCATTTCTGTTTTTAGAAATATATACATGAGTTTATTTATATTTATAATCATATGTGCAGATGATGTGCTCTTACAGTACTCTTTGGGGAGTGGGTTTCTGGGTAAATGTAAGAGAAAATCTTACTTTTTGCTTATAATTTTTCACATTATTTGAAAATTTTATCATAAATGTATTATGTTGGGTTTACTTTTTTGTAAAATAAAGTATGTGTAATATAACATTTTTTTTAAATTGGAGAAAATGATATGCATCATGGGGATGCAAATTTTTATGTATAATATAAAGCTTTGTGCTTCTTTAGGATGATTTCCTTAGCATGAAAATTTCCTAGAGGTAGAATTGCTGAACCAATGGATACAATATTTTGAAAACATATTTTTTTTTTGAGACGGAGTCTCGCTCTGTCGCCTAGGCTGTAGTGTAATGGGGTGATCTTGGCTCACTGCAACCTCCGCCTCCAGGGTTCAAGTGATTCTCCTGCCTCAGCCTCCTGAGTAGCTGTGATTACAGGTGCCTGCCACCATGCTCAGCTAATTTTTTTGTATTTTTAGTAGAAACAGGGTTTCACTGTGTTGACCAGGCTGGTCTCAAACTCCTGACCTTGTGATTCACCCACCTTGGCCTCCCAAAGTGCTGGGATTACAGGTGTGAGCCACTGCACCTAGCCTGGAAAACATATTTAAAAAGAAAAGAGTTGGTAGACAATGCATAAGCCAAAATGAATGTATGAAGGGAGAGAAGGTATTGAAGTTGGTAAAGAGAAAACATGATAATTGCCCACTTATATGTAAAGGAAAAAACATGGTATATTAGTTTGCTAGGACTTTTTCTTTTTCTTTTGAGATGGAGTCTTACTCTGTCACCCAGGCTGCAGTGCAGTGGCACTATCTCGGCTCACTGCAACCTCTGCTTCCAGGGCTCAAGTGATCCTTCCGCTTCAGCCACCCAAGTGGCTGGGACCACAGGTGTGCACCATCACACCCGGCTACTTTTTTGTATTTTTGTTAGAGACAAGGTTTCACTATGTTGCCCAGGCTGGTCTCAGACTCGTGAACTCAAGCAGTCCAACTGCCTTGGCCTCCCAAAGTTCTGGGATTACAGGCATGAGCCACCATACCAGGCTGCAAAGTTTTTCTATAAAAACCAGATAGAAAATATTTTAGGTTCTTCAGTCATGTGGTCTCTGTTGCAACTGCTCAACTCTGCCATTGTTGGGTGAAAGCAGCCATAAACAATATATAAACAAAAGAGTGTGGCTGCATTTATTTATGAGTCCTAATAGTTGAATTTAATATAATTTTTGTGTTATAAATTTTTAATTATCTTTTGTTTTTTTCCTCAGCTACTTAAAAATATAAAAATTATTAGCTCAGGATGCATATGAAAACAGATGATGGGCTAGATGGGTCAGTTTATTGATCCCTGTTCCAAAGCAAAATCAATTTGTTATTTTCAATACATACTCCATGCTATCCTACTTCTTTACATTTGCTCCCATCATTCCTTCCACTTATGTAGAAGGCTATGCACCCCAACCCTACATGCCCATATGTACCCATCACCTGGTTCAATTACTAGCTTATTTTCAAAGTAACCTCTCATCCTCTAAGTGCCTTCATCTACGCTTCTCTGATGGCCTTGATCACGGCAGATATGTATTACTTTGTGGTCTGTGATGTTTTATTTTTATTTTATTTATTCATTTATTTATTTTTGAGATGGAGTCTCACTGTGTTGCACAGGCAGTGGTGCAGTCTCAGCTTACTGCAACCTCGCAGGTTCAAACAGTTCTCCTGCCTCAGCCTCCCAAGTGGCTGGGACTACTACCACACCCAGCTAAATTTTGTACTTTAGTAGAGATGGGGTTTCACTATGTTGGCCAAGCTGGTCTTGAACTCCTGACCTCATGATCCACATACCTTGGCCTCCCAAAGTGCTGGAATTACAGGCATGAGTCACCATGCCCAGACAGGATGATGTTTTATTTTTATATCCTCCATGGCACCAAGCCTAACAGAGTTAGCACTCATAAATGTGTCCTAAGTCAAGGAAGGACTGTCAGCATTTAGGAAACAGCATAAAGATTGTACCTGGTCAAGAGTCAAATGAAAGTAGTTGAAAAGAGAAGTGAAAAAGTTCCTTAATACCTATAGTGGGTTGAATGACAGCCTCCCAAAAGGTAGGTCCTTGTGCTAAAACCTGAACCCTGTAAATGTGACCTTATTTGGAAAAATGTAAGTTAAGGATCTTGAGATGAGATCATCCTAGACTGCCAAAATGAGCCTAAAATCCAATGATGAGTGTCCTTAAAAGAGGCAGAAGAGAAGAAACAGAGAAGGCCAACTGAAAATGGAAGCAGACATTGGAAGGATACAGACGCTTAGAATGCAGAGGGAGTGAGTTCCTGCCAACACAGAAATTTCAGACTTCTGGGCTCCAGACTGTGAGAGAATAAATTTCTATTGTTTTAAGCCACTCAGTTTGTGGTCATTTGTTGCAGAAGCCGTAGGAAGCTAAAACAACCCTCACCACCCCCTTTCCCAAGTTGTGTTAACAAATACCTAATATTTATTTAGCACCTATTATGTACAGCTTTTCATAGAATATTGTATTAAACTTTCACAGCAATCTTATAAAATAAGCACTATTATTATGTCTTGTACAGATGAGGAAACTAACATCTGGATAAATTGAAGTAATTTGCACAAAGATTCACTTGGCTAGTAAGTGATGAAACCAGAATTGAACACAAGCAATCTGATTCGAGTCTTCTTCTCTTAATCACTGTGCCACCTGTTAGGTTCCTAATTATTCTCCTCACATTTTACATACCTTAACACACAGGGATGATATTTCCTAAACTGAATTTCTACTATCCCAGCTACTCATTCTTGGTGAACAAGGATAGAATAGTCTACTCCTCAGGTCAGAACAACAGAATCTCTCTCTGGGTCTGCTGCCCTTCATTGTTCTCTGATTCCTAAGGCAGTGGGGAAAGTTTTATGTTAGTCTTTAAAGAGTATGGCCTTCATGAAAGTCTGTTTCCCTGAGCAGTTCTCTTTGCATTTAATAATTGTTTCCAATAAGGAAATAAATAAGAGGAAACACAACTGCAGGCAGCACTGGGATGATGTCAACATTGGAAATATCAGCATGTTCCTGGATAAGTCATGGAGAGCAAAGTGCTCAAGAGCCATTGAAATCCTTTCATGGAACTAGGTTCTAAGGTCCAAATGCTGGTAACACAAAGTGATCTGCAGTTAGTCTTTAGGGAAGCAAGATAACACAGTGGTTAAGAGCATGGATGCACTTAGGTCTAAGTTGGAATATCCTGGCATTATCACTTACTAGCTCTGTAACCTGAGCAAATAACCTCGAGTCTCAGTTTTCTCATCTGCAAAGTGAGGAATAAAAATATCTACTTCACAGGTAATATTTATGTAGCACACTTGTACACCTAAACACTCAATATTA